GCACAAATATAACGTATGTATGTATGTATGTATGTATGTATGTATGTATGTATGTATGTATGTATTATATTTCTGCTGATAAATAAATAAAGGCTTAATGGCTAAGACGTCTGCCTAAGATGCAATACACCACAGGTTCGAATCCCAGTAAGGGTATGGCTAGCTGATGAGAGCTAAATAGCTTGAAATAGATCTATACTAGTCTCCCTTTATTTATTTATCAGCACAAATATAACACACACACACACACACACGTTATATTTGTGCTGATAAATAAATAAAGGGAGACTAGTATAGATCTATTTCAAGCTATTTAGCTCTCATCAGCTAGCCATACCCTTACTGGGATTCGAACCTGTGGTGTATTGCATCTTAGGCAGACGTCTTAGCCATTAAGCCATAGGCCCTCCTCCTTATCAGCAGAAGCTATATACAGAAGTATATATATATACACCCACACACACACACACACATACATACACACAAACAGACAGACAGACAGATAGATAGGCCCTTGTGGCTTGAGTACAACCTGAGGACTTCTTTTGCGAAGATTTTCCCATGAATTTCATAGACCAAAAAAAGCTTCAAGGCTGTTTCCTCACAAGAGAGGGAGGAGAACTGTTCCATTCCTCCGTACCAAACCTGTGGAAGTTTGAAGTGTCAGCCATACTCTCCTGTGCTTTGACTTACAAGAGGTCCAGGTTTCTTGTATGCTGCCTTTGCCAACGTGATGGGGAAGAGAATCTTTTTTTCTGTTGCAAGAATGCCTCAAGTCAATTTATTGTCATGCGGGCAAAGAGTCTAAAAAGGAAGAAACGCAAAGGAAGAACATGGAAGGTTTTTTCCCCCTCCATCTGTTAAAAAACCATAGCAGTCTGACAAGCAGAATTACAGACTGAACAATCTTCATAGCAACTGTGTTTTTTTATAAAAAAAACAAACCAAACCTGTCTTTTGGAATTAATATTGGTGGCTTTATTCACATCGCAGCTTTGTATATTAGCTGAGGAGGGGAGGCATAGCAAGCTACATCTGACCACTGGATAATCCTACGTTATGAATGGTTCACCACATTGCATTGAAAAGACAGGTGTGCTCACCCTACGCAGTAGCAAACTCTTGACAAAAAAGCGTCTTCCAATTTAACTGCTTCCTGATTCTCCAAAGCGTCTTTTAGTAATTGATCTGTTTATTCCACTAGGTTAGCTGAGGTTTCATGAACAGGATCCACAAATCCGGTGCATATGATCAGATTGGCCTTCTGCAAAAAATAACCTAATGGAACAGATGCCATTTTTTATTTTTTTGTATAGCTCATAATGAGCCATGAGGGATGAATTATCATTATTGGCTATCATCATGTGGAGCTTGTGTATGCTTAAGAGGCATGCGTGGGCAGTTTAATTAGCATTTTCCTATGTAGCACTATGCTACATTTATGGCGTACAAAAAGAATTAAGGGTTTGTTTATGATTGTCCTAGAATATCTTACCTAAACATCAGTCAAATTTACCAGTGTAACTTTAAACACTTTGGTAGGATGACTAGGTCAGGTCTGTTTTGCCAGATATTATTTTTAGAGTCTTATCTTAAAGTCATTATTTAAAGGATTTTAGAAAAGGGTTACCTTGATAAAGTTATTGGTGTACTAAAATATTAAGTTGAGAGGAAGAAATTTAGATTCGTCTATAGAGCAATCAAGTATTGATCTCACACCATTCCTAAGAGGTCTGTAAAGGGGATGGGCATAAGCGCATCATTGTGCCTATCATTCCTGTCCTACTGTCCCCATTTATTCATACCCATTTCATTCATACTCATGTTTATTCTTACAACTATTATCTTGTAAACAATTGACAAATTAAATAAATAAAAATAAAATAAATAAATTTCCTGCAAAAGCAGATGAAATACTGACATTCAAATCATAATCTAGCCAAGAGCAATCTACAGTAGATTTGTTCCTTTGCACAGGTATATTTATGAAGTATTGGAATAGCTAATGCCAGTTTTGGAACTGCAGTAGCTGCTAATTACCCTGTACCATAGAGGTGTGCATGTGTGTAATTTTCTTTTCCAGATTTCTGAAAAATTATCAAAATATCCTAGAACACTGTCTCTCTCTTGGGACCTGATTAAAACCAACAATAATTAGAATGACTCAGTCATCTTTAGAGAGAAACAGTTTTGGCAGTGCTAATCCTGCTAATGTGGCATAGTAGAAACTTAAACTATTATGGCAGCAATAATGCCATAAAAAGAATATGTGTCTCTTTCTTCCCATATCCCATGTATCTGAAAGAGGATAAAGTGTATTTTTATATCAAACACACCAGGGGGCAGTCTCGGAATGTCCCCATATGCTTATTTATTTTATTTGTTAGATTTATATTCAGATTCCTCCCTTGAGCTAAGAGTATACTTGAACTTGAGTCCAACCCACACTGTCTTTCCCAGAACACTAAAATCATATATGAAAAGCAAGGCACTTTATCAAGTCCATTGATATTCCTAGGTATTAATTTTAAAAATAAAAAAAATCCAGACTGTCTGGTCATCCACCATTCCATGAAGCCATCTCCCAGAACAAGGAGCCAAAAATGTTGACTTTCTTTGTAGATTTTAGAATTTGGGGAGTTTAAAGGGCAAAATGAATGCTTTTAATCCTTGAGCCACTCAACTCACCATTTATAACTCCTTAAAGCATGCCTACACATCCTGCTGCAGCCTTTGAGATGGTGCAAATTGCTCAATCTGCACTAAGGTAAGAGTGAAGAGAGAAAAGAGCAGATCCTTTTAATTTTAATTTGCTTTTGGAGAGAGGTGAACGCCCATCTGAAGTCCACAATCCCTGAAGAAAGTGAAAAGTATTTATGAGCATGCATAGATATTTTGGCTCTAGCAGATAGGAGATTTTGAGTAGTTCATAGAACTGGTAAATACCACCTCTGACTGGCCCTGCCCCCATCTATTCTCTGCCTTCTGAGTCCCAGCTGATCATGAGGGAATGGGGATTTTTCAGTAATCTGCTCCTGGATTGGGGAGGGAATAGAGATTTCACAGTATCCTTGCCCTGTCACGCCCACCAAGCCGCACCCACAGAACCAGTAGTAAAAAAAATTGAATCCCACCACTGTCTGGAATACCTGGAAGAGAGGACTCTTAACAACTCTGCCAAGTTCCTATATACATATATAAAACACACGCAATTTGTGTCTTCCTTCCACCCACCAATCTCCCCCCACATCTCTGCCCTTTTGGCCATCCTGCTCTCTGCTGTCTACCCCTGTTAGCCCCAGCTGACCTTTGCACTTCTTTTCCTTTCACTGCTGATGAGGTGCATCTAGCTGAGATAGCTGCTGGCCTTCGTGAAGTCCTCATGCAGCCTCCCCAAATTCTCATCAAGGGCAGCAGCTGCCTCAGCTGAGCATGACTTCTTCAGTTGGCATCAGCCACAAAGATCAGCTGGAGGCAATGTGGGGTGGCAGGGATAGGTTGAGAATGGGTTGACACAAAGAAAAATTTGACTTCCTCACTCTTCAAAAATATAAAGGTAGGGAATAAAGACACATGGAAAACTAGAACTAGTTTATGTGACCGTACTTTGTTTTCTCTCTCTTTATCTTTCAGGATTTTAGCATCATGTTTACACATCATATTGTGGCAGTCATGTTACTAATTATCTCTTACGTAGTCAACTTCACACGAGTTGGAACCCTGGCTTTGTGTCTTCATGATGTTGTTGATGTCGTGCTGGAGGTAAGAGAGAGTTATTTGTAATAATTCTTTGCTGTCCAAAATGGTCTCTACCTGGAACAGGCAATGTACCCTGGGAAAGCTCATAATGTATTGACATTTGTTTTAAAGGACTGTTTCTGTAAGACCATAAACACCTTGGTATTTATCTTTGGCAGTGGCACTCATAAACACAGTGAGATTGACTTTCTGCACCTTGTTCAGAATCCTTTTTTGTTGTTTATTTTTATCATCCTGAATAATTTGTGTCATTATCGAAATTCATTTAAAACACACTGCTAGATAATTATATGAGCAAGCTTTAACGCGGGCAACCACAGAAGCAAAATGTGACCAAATTTAAAACTTCACAACTAAATGTAGCAGTGCTGAAAAAAATTAAAACATTCCTGATATCTTTGCTGGTATGTTTCTGACTAATTTTACCCTGTTGGTTCTTATTCTCCCAGGTGTTTAGGAGAGGATATGGAGCCTATTATCATTCTTAGCAGCTAAACCAGACAGGAAATGACCAAATAAACTAATTCTATTTTATTGTAAAGCTACATTTACAGAACCTTGTAAATTTGAAGTTACAGTTCTCCCACTGTCAACTATACAGCCCAATAACTCAGGGAGACTCCCTCTTGAGCCTTTTGCTCCACCCACTATGCAACTGCAAGCTATGCTATCGCTTGTTTGATTGTTCCCTAGGCAGCATCTCTTTATCCGTTCTCCCAAGATTTGCTTCTGCAATCTTTGATATTCTCAGAACCTGCAGCCAACATTTTACTGGTCAGGAGGAAGTTCTAGCTACCTCTCTCAGCTCAAACTCCTCCTAGTCCCAGCTTCCTCTCATTGCAAGAAAATAGGGGCTTTATGGAGAACTAAAATACTTGTCATCAACTACAATGACTTTGTCAAAACTTTATGTAAGCTCAAGTATTCAGTATTTGAAATATAAAAGAGATCAAATAACAAGGGTGTGATTGAATTAGTACAAAAGAAAAAGCAAAACAGATGACTTTTGGATGGCTGTGGATCCATTTGGGAAGGGGATTTCTTGAAGATTCCCTGTGAAAGTATCAGGAAAGTCACTAGGCAAATCCATCTTCCTATATATTATATATATATTATTTTTAAACAAACATAAACAAACACATATAATTATGTACAGTGTGTGGATTGGTTACAAGGTTTTTGTGTGTCCTTTCCATAGTCATTAGCTTAAACTTTATCTAAAGTCACATGTCATCAATCAAATATGTTTGTATACATTATTATAGTTCTTCATTTGTTTGATTATCACTATTGTGTCTTCATTTTAAACAAGGTATTCTAAATATAAATTCATTTATATTATAATAGTTCATTAAATCATCTTAAATATATCCAATAATAAAGTATTTTTATATCCTATTTTAAGTCATTCTATTATTTTAGTATTGGTAACATTGTCTAATAATTTCCAAATCCATGTTTTTTCCATTATTAATATCATCAAACTAATATATATGTATACAATTATTATAATTATTAAACATTCATTGAGTATAGCTATTATTACATTCTTTTTATGTGAAGCATAACTAAATTTTAAGTAAATTTATATTATGGCATTTCATTACGTCGTCCTAAAATCATCCAATGATATTACATCTTTATATTCTATTCTATATAAAATTGTTTATATTTTATAAAAAGATTTTCAACCTCATCTCCATAGTCCACTTGCAATTTTATATAAAATTTCATATTATCAATCTAGTATATATAAATGCATTATTATCATTGTTAATCATTTATTTGACTATAACAATTATTGCTTTATCTTATACATAATACTCAAAGTTTAACTAAATTTAACTTGATTTTATTGTAACATTTTATTTCATCATCCAGTATCCTTCCAGTAGTATGGCAGTCCAATAACTCTTGCCATTTTTAGAATCTGTATTCTAAGGGTTTTCTTGATAAGTCTTATGTGGAGTTCTCTTAGCAACTTGTTGTTCATTCCATATCTTATAGAGAATTGAAACCCTCCATCTGTTCCTTCCATCATCTTGCCTTTGGTTATCATTGGTGCTTCTGCCAAAATTGCTCTCATTGTTTCTGCCAAATTTTCTCCCCTTTTCATCTATATTTTGAAGTCTGGCATAGAGTTCGAGTTTGTCGATCTCTCCTTTCAGTAATTCACACATTTCATTTCATTTCATTTCCTTTATTTGTATGCCGCCCTTTTCTATTTGGGATAGATAAGACGCAGTGGAAAATTTTCTATGAGTGGATTACAATAACAATTTGTTAACAGAGACTTTTGAAAACTTAACCGTGACATTTTTATTATTCTTTTTCCAATTAACTATTTTGTCATTAATATAGTATGTAGAAGACAGGTCAATAATTTGCAAATGGATTTACTAGTTTAAAATTTTTTTGGGGTACCTGTGTCACAAGAGTTGGGAACCAATATTGTAGCAAGATATTAATCAGCATTCAATTTGGGGGATAATGTGTGTATATGTATTGGCTTTTTTTCTTTTTAATGCACTTTTTCAAAATTCTCAATTTTTAGGGGGGTATTAATGAGATTTTTAAAAATCTTTTTTTGTCTTTTGGGGAGTTTTATATGTTAACTTCTTTTGACTAAAAGAAAAAATTATGAAAAAAAAAGTGTGAAAAAAAGAATCCTAGTAATTGTTTCTAAGAATTAGATCTTGTTAAATTCAGAATGTGTTGAATAAGCTTATTTAAGTTTGGAGTGTCAAAAAAACAAAAATACAATATTATAATTTATTATAATTGAGAAATAAAGATGGCATACAGCAGTAGAGACATAAAAAAAAAAGAGAAGTGTTAATGGGCAGCGTCAACTTTTGCCCTCTCAATATTCTACAAAGTTTCAGAGAAGAAGTAGTAAGGGCAGTAACAAATTCAAATACTGACAGTGCATACTTGAATATTTTATATGATACAATTTCTGCGCAAGTTCTTTAAAGAGAAAGTGACCTATTTTCTTTTCTTTTTACAGGCAGCCAAAATGGCAAACTACTGCAAGTTTCAAAAACTCTGCGATTTCCTCTTTCTTATGTTTGCTATTATTTTCATTATTACTAGACTTGGAATATATCCTTTATGGTAAGTAAGTGTACTTTTTTTCCTCATGCGATAGCATATGCTAAAACAACCTTTCTCAATCTGGGAAACCGTGGCTTTGTTGGGCTGCAGTTCCCAATGTTTCTGCCAGACATGGTCAGCAGGTTTTATGGAAGACTGTTCAAGGATTATGTAGGAAAAACCTGTTGGTGGTCTGTTGCCGGCAATGTTTTCAGGACTGTAGTTTTTTTTTTATAGTGTGAATCCGGACAGGAAGAGAGCAAAATAGTAGATGTCCAATTAACATCTGCTTTTTTATTACACTGATTGATTGATTGATTTGGAAATTTATATTGCCACCTATTCAGACAAGGCGGCTTATAAGAATATAAAACCTCTGATAAAAACAATAAAACTAATAAAAGAGAATCACAAATTAATAAAATAATATAATAAAATAACCCCCACCTCAGGCGACAACTCATCACATGAGCCATTTAATGGGCTCTATCCCGCTCTGAGTTCCCCAGGCCCACTGGCAGAACCAGGTCTTCAGTGCCTTCCAGAAGAGTGTTAGAGTAGGGGCCATTCTAATCTCTAGGGGAATGGTGTTCCAGATTGCTTTATAATGTTGTGACTATGGCAACAATAACATGGGAAAGATGTGACTCTCAGCTAGGTGACCATTTAGGTGTAACTTGCTGGAGTTTGATGCTGTGTCCCAGTGATGGGATTCAAAAAAAATTATTATCAGTTCTGTGGGCATGGCTTGGTGGGCGTGGATTGGTGGGCATGGCAGGGGAAGGGTACTGCAAAATCCCCATTTCCTCCCCACTCCAGAGGAAGGCTACTGTAAAATCCCTGTTCCCTCCCAATCAGCTGGGACTTGGGAGGCAGAGAATAAATGAGGGTGAGGCCAGTCAGAGGTGGTATTTACCGTTCTCTGAACTACTGTAAATTTCTGCTACCAGTTCTCCAGAACTGGTCAGAACCTGCTGAATACCACCTCTGCCCTGCCCACTTCTTTTGGTGGCAGGTTACAGAAATTGGATGGGGTTTGTATTCTCTGACAACAGAAATTGTGGAAAGGCATGCACCTGAAGCCTAACCTTAAAAGAGCCTCTAAACATCCCTACAGCTTTACCAAATCTAAAAGTAACTCCAACGGCTTGATAAATTCTCATTTCTTTTTAAGAAAAGTTAAAACTCTGTGTGCCCTATACTCTGATTTCATGCTCCCCCCCACTCCCCAAGTTGTCCTTGAAGGCAATACAGGGAGACTCCCTACCCAAAGAGAGACAATGCCCCATGACTCTGGACACATGAAACAACAGAGCATGTGCTTCTCCAGCGCTTATATTACAGAGACATTCATCATTGTTGTAATTCTATACTTCCCTTCTGCTTTCAAATACCGACCCTGCTACAACATACAATGTTGCCGGGTTCTGTGCAGTGGTGCACCTGTGCCAAAAACGAGACTAAATGAGCATCTAGTTCATCATGCTAGAGTGCTCTGTAATTTGATAGATTTATCTGCCCCATACTAAAGTTTATGCTTCCCTGCAGCCATCTAATGCTCCTACTCCTCCTTTTAGATATTCAACTGCTTATTTTATATCTTTTAGCTTTATATAATGATTAATATTTTAAATGTTTTCTAATTGACTGTACCTACCCTCCTTATGCTGCCTTTGACCGTAATAAAAGTTTGATTGACTGGGTGATGCCTGGATTTTTCATTCTCTTCCCTAATCCATCTGTTGAGATTCAATGGAAGCACAGTAGCAGATTTCTAGTTTTCCTTGCTGCTTTCCTCTCTGTGCAATTACATTTTGAAAATGGCAGAAGTCACCAGGACTGGATTACTCAGCAGGGGGGAAAAATTGCTGTAGAGGATGGGTCTTCAGCTACATTCAAATGTTTGCGGCAGAATTGATCTAAGATATGCGCTTGAATAATATTTAAAGTGTATCATCTTCTTCAACCCGACACCCTGCTATAGATTGGATTACAATTTTTTTAATCAAACCTCACACTTCCTTTGCAGTTTGCTTAGATTTTGGAAGTTGTGGTGTGTATTTTGAGGCTAGAATCTCTTTCTATAAAGTAATTGAGATTTGGAACAAGGTCTTTTATATTCAGCAACTCGGTTTAAAAAAATGTATATATGTACAAACCAAAAAAACAGCATTCGGATTGCTAATTTTGTGTTCTGTTACGTTTGCTTTTAATCTCACCTTTTTCCTCTGGGAAATTAGCATTTTGTAATTGGCTACGCTCAGAACAATGTTTCCTTAAATCTGGTAACTGGCCTGATCTCTAGATTTTTAATTACAATTCATATAAATTCCAACCAGTGCTAAAGATTTGTGAAGAATGTTGTTCAAAAACCATTTTAATTAATAGGGCAATTAACAAATTAAGATTTGGTGATTCCTGTACGTTTTGTCATATAAATGTTAATTTTAAATAAGCAGCTACTTAATTGGGAAAGACAAAATGTATTTTTTGTAATATAAATATATTACCCATTCTTGTCTGAGTTATATGGACAGAAAAAAAGGTACATGCTATTAAATCTTCTGTGGATTGCATTTAATTAAGTATCATGAAGTAATTGGACACATTTTCAAATATTTTTTTAATTAACTAATCCTAAGGGACAAAATTATGATGAAAACCAACTTATCTGTGAACTATAACAACTTTCCATTAAGAGAGTGCAGCTAGATATTTTCTATCTTATTGTTTCACCTCTTTTTTAGTATCAGCATTTATATTATTTATTACCCTGTATTTTTATACTTACATAGTGTTCTGTGTTTCATATAGAATGAAGGGTAATTAAAAGTGTTTAGTCATTATATTTTAAAAATGGAAAGCAAAAAAAAATGCATTTGAAAGGAAATCTTTTCCAGTAGGATTTATCAAAGATTTTAATACTAGTTGTTAAAATAGAATAATTAAATCTAAATTAAAGAAAGTACATACAGTATATGATTCAAACTCATATAATTGCATTTCCTCTGACATTTCTGCGGAGAGCTAAGAATTGAAACAATTTTGAACAGTGAATCTATATTATTCTGTAGCTATAAGAAAGTCAGATATTTTCTTTCATATGAATGAAAGTGTACTCAGTTTCTCTTAGAAACATTAAAAACATGAACCTAGAAATTTCTTCCATCACAGTGAGTGCAATCATAGGCAAGCCAGAAGGTGGATTCCTTGATTTGGCCTTAGGATATTGTATGAAATGCTAATTGTGATCTTTTCAGTGAACAGTAGTTAAGCAAAGTACCACTTGTGAGCCAGGTCAATATGTTTGATTTTTTTCCCCCCATGATATTATTTCCACCATTCACAATTTCCCCCAGTGGAACATCTATCTATATTATATATCATATATCATCCCCATTCTCACATAGAGTATCAGTTATGCCATTATTCCTCATACATTTATGGGCATTTATTGATAAATTTGAAAAGTTTGCATAGACCATTGAAAACATAAGTCTTTTAAGACTGTGGATGATACATTTTGCTTTTAATTAAGTTGATGGAAATTAGTGCATTGAGGAAAAGCTATGATCTTTAATTCATAACAATTAGCAATCGTAGATCCTAGCAATTCCGCTTGCTTCCTTTCAACTTCTGTCTGCATTACCTTTTCTCATTATTGTATACTTTAGGCCAGGGGTCTCCAACCTTGGCAACTTTAAGACTTATGGACTACAATTCCCAGAATTCCTCAGCAAAGCTGGATGAGGAACTCTGAGAGTTGAAGTCCATAAGTCTTAAAGTTGCCAAGGTTGAAGACCTCTGCTTTAGGCCACTGCCTAATTCAACTGTCTCTCTTTGAACTTCTGAGTCTTCCATTTCCAGCCATGTTAACTAGAATTAAAGCAAGTTGGAATTGAGAACCATGGTGAAGATATCACCATGGGAAAAATCTGACTCATTTTATCAGATTTCATTTAACCATCCTTTTGAAAATATTCCTTTCTCTTTCTCAGAGAATAGCAGCTCCTCGTTTTAAGTCCAGAACGTTCAAGATCATTATGTAAGAGTATCTCTCTCCTTGCTTCTAGTTTCATTGCAATTCATGAATGAAATTCATTCATCCTCCTCCCCCTTTTTCTCTGGACTCTACTGATGGGTCTCCCATTTTTTTCTCCCACCTTTGGAATCTTCAGTCACATCCTGTATAAAGTTCAATTCCACTTTTCAACACAACCCCAGATTTTGTTTCCTCACAAATATTGAATTACAAATACAAGCAAATTAACACTTCACATTTCTTGGTGTCACAGACTTTTCCCCTAAAATAAAAACCATAATATGGACTACTGAAGCTAACTTGCTGAAGATGCCATCTGGTGGTTATATTTGGTCCATTACCACATTTCCTTGGAGGGAAAAAAAATTAATACACAATGAATGATCCTGCAAGTTCAATGAAATAAATATGACTTAGTCTTTCATGCCACATTTATTTTTTTGTTTGATGTATTTCTTAAAAAGAAATCTAAAACTCAGCCATACCTTTAAAAATATCCACCCTCAAGATAATACATGCCCTTCTACATGCAAACAAAAAATCTTGGAGAAATAAAAATAAAAAAGAGCAGTCTCAGTGAAGAATTGTTGCAAAATAAAATAAGTTCCTAAAGCAAAATAGGACAACATTTGGCAGGAAATTACTTGGATCACTTGTAGGCAGTTGCTTGTGCTTGCCCCCACTAGAACCAAAAGAGTGGGCATGCTCTGTGTTCCTTCTAATAAATGTCATGATTTCTCTGTCATAACACCTATCCTGTGGAACACCATTCTCCCAAGACAATAGTTTCGACTCTTTTGACCATTCATAGAAGACATTAGAGACCTCATTGTTCCCTCTGGCACTTAGGCTAGAGTGCTAAATAAGCCATACTTTTGATTTGGTTGGTAGTTTTTTTTTTTCCCCACAAATGAAGGCAAATATACATGTCCCTGGATAATGTTGCAAGATCTGATCTGGGCCGGTCACTGGGACCAGAGGTTTACTCATCTGAACTTTTGGACTCATGCTACAGCCTGTATTGTTTCTTTTTTTTAAAAAAAATAATTGATTGTGAATGTGGCATGGTTTTAAACTTCAGGCATATATTTTAGTCTTTGGTAGTTTATTTCAACAAATTATCTTATCGCTACACATTATGTTTTGCTTTTTAATCTTTTGTTTCTTGCTTAAAGATATTGTTGTGAAATAGATGTGGTATAAATATAGATTGCCAACCAGCATTTTAACAGAAGTCAATCAAGCAGCTCACATGGAAGTAGTTGTAGGCTAGCAAATTCAACAGAAATGGGTGTGATTCTATAGCGGGTTCTTGAAATAGGTGGAGCAAAAGCAGGATATAATTGTAAGAAAGATTTTTTTAAAAAAAAGAAGGAAAAGGGGAGTGGGGATTAAACGAATAGGAATAAATTCTGTGAATCAAATGTGTAAATTCTGCATGAATATAAAACTAACCTTTGACGGTTTCATCTCCAAGTTCATAGAAGCTGTGTGAAATCTCCCTTGCTACCTGCTTGACTGCTAATTATGTCTGTGATAGATGGTAAATGATCTGTTTCTCATGACTGTGCATCTCACTCTTCCCCATTTCTTTCAGGATACTGAATACCGTATTCTTCGAACTGCCTGAAATTGTTGGTGGTTTTCCTGGCTTATCAATCTTTGTCATTTTACTTTTGATACTTCAAATTCTCCACTGCTTTTGGTCCTATTTAATAATAAAGGCAGCCTATAAAGCTATTTTGAAAGGCAAGGTAAGATCAATGGCGATGGGTTTTTTTTCCTTGATGTCTTTTAATCATCTAGTTTTCCTGTGAATATTCTTGCATGCTTTATTGACTTTTTCGGCAGTGGAAGTCTGTTAGGATTTCTGACTTTAAATATGCTGCTAAAGAGACTCAAAATAAACATATTCTTCCGATAAACATAAGCTCAGTTCTTGTTATATTTATATCTTGGTACATTATATGAATTCAACTAACACAGCTAGTAAACTGTGGTTCTCTAAATAATTACCCAGGACTGTTTTACCTCAGAATAGAATCTGTAGGTGGGTATCCCACTCTCTGAAATGTTCAAAGGCTGAGCTTTGAGCTCTATACATAAGGAAACTCAATGAGCCATGTATTCTTGTATTTTAAGTTGTCTGTATTTTCCCCCCTATTTATCTACCTGTTTCCTGAACTAAATTCTAGTTTCCAGGTGAAAGATTGTTTTGAACTGCTCCTTCAAACTGCCCAATTGCAGTAGAAGGTGAAACAGCCTATTGTGCTTCTCTTCAGCCTTGTTTTCTGGAAGTAGTTTAAACTGTTGTGCTAACTCAGCCAACTGTGGTTTATTCAATGAACCCTGGCTAAGCAAACATTTGCATGTGGTTTAGCCACCGTGAGTCTGAAATATTTATTTTTGACCATCTGAATATGTATTTATTATTTGAGTATTAGATTGAATATATTATTCTGGTTTGAGGGGTTGTTGTTTTAATTTTGTGCTTAGTTCATCACCCGGTCTGTTTCTTAGGATTAGAAGAAATCTCTCTACCTGTGCATGTGTACACTTGTCTGGGGTATTTTCAATTCTTTCTGAAAGCACTTGTGCAGTTACAAACATGCATTGATTTTCATGTGTTGTCTTTTTCTATTTTTTTTAAAAAAAGAAATACGTGTGGAAAACTTAATACATAAAACCAAATAAATCAATAACATTAAAAAGGCAGTATGCAAAATAGTCCTGAGAATCTAGTTGCAGAATCTGAAACCAGAAATCTACCCAGACATCTCATCTTTAGACTGATGGCTGGAGTTCTGTACGGTTTCTGTGCCTTCCAGACTGAGCCACATACTGGTAGGCAGCCTCTTGTTTCATGGGAAAACTGCACGTGCTTTCTAAACCTTCTTCATAATTTCGTTTCTGCTGTCTCTGAAGGCTGGGAAGTGGAATCCTTTGCATGTAAGTTTCTCTGGTAGGAAGAACACAGTACAGTATCTCTCTCTTTCTATGGGCTTGCCTCTTCTCTCCTTTCTTTTCTGCGTCCTTTAATTGTTCAGCTGACTACTCACTTTGCATGCTCTTTGCAGCTCTACAGCCAGCAAATTGTTTTTGTTTTCTTCCTTAGTGTTTTTCCACAAGGGCAGGGTCTGCTTTTTTTTTTTTTTTCAAATCAACTGAGCATTGATCCATTGGACGCGACATGAATGGACCAACTGGCTTGTTGAACGAGCCTGACATCGTGCTAAAGCCAACCATTATTTAGCATATTCCTAGACAGAAAAAATGTAAAGCTATTTGACTCTTCTTCTCTTGACCTCCTGTTCTAAGGACCTTTTCAGGATGGAAGCATTTAAAGATGAAAAAGAGGGATTTTTTTCTGGAGTTGGCTCCAGCTGAGCTTATTATTTCTATCCTGCCATTAACTTACCGGAGGGACCATTAAAAGTATTTGCAATGGCCCACAAACCCATGTGAACATTTTATGGAATGTTACTAGATAGGGCTATTTATTTCCTTTGGTCTGGTGAGCATAAGAACAGTAACCGGCAGGGAATTTTATTGCTGCTTTGTCAGTGGCTTACCTCCTACATTTGAATTCAATATACATAACCTAAACAATCTACTATTTGGCCATGTAATAAAAGGTGCTCTATGCACATCCAGCAAGACTTCAGAGGCTTTAGATCCGTGATGGCGAACCTATGGCACATGTGCCAGAAGTGGCACGCAGAGCTATCTCTCTGGGCATGCCAGCCTTTGCCTGTTACTCTTCTGGGGTTTGGCACGTAGCTTTGTGAGTGCGGGAAAGTTGGAAACCAGAAAAGCAGCTCCCTGGTGCACATATGCCTGCTGGGAAGCTGAATTTCCAGTTTCCGGTGCGCACATGTGTGCCAGCCAGCTTGTCTTTGTGCACACATGCATGCCAGAAGACCAGGTGACCTGCGCATATGCACAAGCCAGAAACCGGAAGGTCAGCTTTTCCCATTTCCAGCACTCTTGCATATCCGTGCCACGGAGCTGCTTTTCTGGTTTCCAGCGCTCACCCGCGCATGCTCCCATTTCAGCACTTGGTGCCGAAAAGGTTCGCCAACACTGCTTTAGATGCTAGTGTTCCTTTCTTATGCAGTACTAAAATTCATTATATGCATCAAATTCACACCTTTGCAGCTTCACTCAACCCTCCATCTCTTTGTCACTTTTGATACTGCTTGGCCTTTTTCTGAGGCTCCTTTTTCTGTTTAGCAGTTTGTTTTTTTCTGCTGCTCAAAATTTACTGCCTGCTGTTATGCCAAATGCAATTCATGATCAGGGATTTTATTATATAGTGCATTACTTCATAGTATATTGAGCTCTCATTGATGCATGAGTAGGGAGCCTTTTGGTAGTGGGGCTTGGGGAAGAGCTGAGAGGCAGAGTAAACAGAACGGTATTAAGAATACAGTTGGGGCTGGAATTTTACAGATTTCTCCCCATTTTTCTACAGTGTGTTTTCTCTGACTAACTAAGTTAAGATTATATAAGCTCTTAAAATGCGGTCTTCATATTTCCTACCTCAATATGGCAGGCAACTACTAATTTGGGGAGAGTGCACCATTCAAGGTCAAGATTAGAGGTAGCTCTGAGAACTACCCTAAAAATAAGAATTTGAGAGCCACATGGTTGGATTACAAATTGCCCATTTTACATCAATGGCTTGGTGTTCATGCCCTTCTCAACTGCAATACTTTCTTTGCTGCTGCTTCTTGGCACATACCCTCTCCTGCTTATCTTGACTGCCACTGCAGACATGGCTTCCAGTTCTGATCTCTCTTCTGATCAGTCAAAAGCACGATTGCATGCTTTCTGGAATCCCAAATCCTGGTGTTTTTTTCCCCCTTTACTACGATAGCAAGTGGTTTGTTGTTGTTGGGTTTTTTTTGGTTTTCATAATCCAGTTTGAAGCCATGACTGGTGATGCCCATAGAAGGTTCCTATGTTGTTTGCTGTTTATTGAGGCCAACTTTTCTGCAACACCCAAACTGTTCTTTTACTGTTGATATCTTTACTAGGGATATTACCAATGAAATGCTTGGTTTGTCCCTCAAAAATGTATTTGCCTATGGAAACTCTAGACAAAGAAAGTGTAATCAAAATTATCAGCTGAGATCTCTTACAGCTATTTTGGCAAATCTAGTGGCATAAGCAATAACAACTGCAAGACGAATATCGGGTATAAGCTTTCAATACTGTAAACTAGTGTAGTTGTACAAGAAGTGATAACATGCCTTTATTGCTCTTCCTCTCTTTATATGGAGAGGGAGAAAAATTGAAAGCTTAAGCTGTCGATCCATGGATCAGATTTACTGATTATCTGCCATGCCTTCCTCAAAGCGGGTGTCAGACTACATTAGCTTTATTGACAAGGGACATTCAGAGTGATATCAGGAATAAAGTAATGGTAAAGCTTGCTTTAGATGCAACAGAAGTTGAGACAAGTATATCGTGAAGAGATTCTGGGAGACATTGTGGGAGGGAAGGAGGGAGGGAGGGAGGAAGGACGGACTGCACTACAGAAGTTAAAAAGGTGAGGTTAGGAGACAGCATAAGGGAGAAAGGATGAAACTAGAGGTATCCAGCCACTTTTGTTTGTTTGTTTGCTTGCTTGTTTGTTTTTGTCTGTCCCACTGGGCGTATATGCAATACTGCAAAACCCGGTGGTCGAGTCTAACCTAATTCTCAAGTCTAACAAATGAATCAATCTGCTCTCTAACTTCTCCTTGAACTCTATAAACTGCTCTTTTTCCTCCCAGCCAAGCTATAGTACCAGATATAAGATGGGCTGGGAGAGAGAAAAGCCTGAACTGATCAGATGCAGAAGGTAAAGTAGCAGGAACAGGGGAAAGGATTAAGCTCTTCTCAATTAAGTGTCCTTTCTACCACAAATCCCAGAACCTGGTCCTCACCCAGTACCTACTAGTTTGATGCAACTTTCCCTCAATTTCTCTGGTTTAGCACTTTAGAAGCAAATAGCTAAGATGCAACTGGAAGCCGGTTGGTTTCCCAACTTTTGAATGGTGGCAGAGAAACTGCCATAAACTCCTGATAGTTGGCAATATAACAGATTTAATAAACAAGTAAATAAACAACAGAACAGAGAGCTGATCTCCTTTCTCTTATGCCACTGATACCAATAAGGTTTCTCTCCACTTCTCCTTTTCTTACACCTTTTGCAGGCAAAAGATGACCGAAGTGATGTGGAGTCCAGTTCAGATGAGGAAACCTCTACTCTTCAGTCAAAGACCTCCCATAGCTCAGCTACCATCAATGGGACAAACGGAACAAACGGGTATCTCACTGGTAGCAATTCTGCAGAGGAATATTAATCCTTGGAGTATACACTGCTACGTGAACTGTTTGCTACAGAAAACAAATAAGTTGTGAATGCAGGAGTTGATTTTTTTTCTCTCTCTCTGTTCTTCTTTCCTTCTTTTTCCTGTGTAGGGGGGTTTAAATCTCAGAAAAAATATCTACACACACTTGGAATATTTAAAGCTTCTAATACCACATTGCTTTATTTCCTGTTTGTAAATGACAGCGCCACATGATTTTCTGTATGTAGGCATGCTGTATCTATCTATATATCTCTCTGACCAGATGGGAGCAGTATTTTCTTCAGTAGTTTTTGAGTATTATTTACTTTATATCTTACTTTGAGATGACTTCCAAATGAAAAAGAAAACTTCCTTAAGATTCTCTTTTGGACTTCATTAGGATTAAAGATTGCCAGGTTAAAGATGGGGGCGGGAGGGTTGTGCTTGGTTTCTCTAGCCAGTATTCTGATATTGTAGTTGCCTGCTAAGATTTCACTTATTGCAAAATCACACAAGTTTGTGATTCTTTCTAGATATTTTTTTTTAAATGAGAGGGAAGTTTCTTTTTGATGAAAGATGCTGACTTTAGAACTTGCTGGTACAATCACAATTGTTAATTCCTCTTCCATTTCAAAATGTTATCTTGATAGTTTTATGTAACAGAGTCAGTTTGACCATTCATTTTCGTTCACTATGCGTGCTATAAGAACACATTTTTAATTGATTTAACCCTTAGTGGCAAATTTGTTTTGGCTTCCAGCTAAATGAACTAACTTATCTTCAACATAGGTTCCTATCTTGCAGATTACCTCAAATTTTCTGTTTGGATCCATTTTTCAAGCATGTGCAATCGAACTGGTATTATAAGCACCAGCTTATAATAATTATAATATTTATTTCTTGCTTTTACTTTCTTATTATTTACAATATTCATTTCCTTCCTTTGGTAGCCCTTCCAGATGTTCAAAAATGCTGTGTGGAGTCTGATGAAACCATTCCATTGCCTCGTCCTGCGTATCAGCCACAACCTGAGCTGGGATGATTCATTCAATTACCAATCAGTTCTTTTGTTGCTAGTCCTTCCAGTCAGCCCAGAGTTGGCTGGGAGACTGTCACTCCTTTCCCAGCTTTACCTTTATTTATATATTTATTTAGCTGAAGTGAAAACTACCCATACATGGCACAGGTAGAAGCAGTACCACTGTAGATAAGTCAGGAGGATTGTATCTCACATGCATTCCTGTGATATATTTTTTAACACAAACTCACCTTTGCAAGAGAGTGAAACCAGGCTCTTCTGGAGCTTTTTATGTTGCAGAAGGGAGAGCAGTCCCCCTCAATTATCTTCATAGCTGTATTATAGGAAAAAAAATACCTTAGGGTTAGAGACCTTGATAGTCAGGGAAATGGGGAGAGGGGTTTCTTTTCTAAGTAGAAATGCACTCACAAATAGGGCTTCCACACAAAGTTTGTAGATACCTAGTTTCAGCTCCACCAGGACTTACAGTAGTTTGTCAATCAAAGATAGCGCCAACCATCTCAGTAGCCTTTTTTGGTGGAGCGGCTTGTGGGCTATTGTGAGTAAGAGTGCGGAATCTGCTTTGCCAGTTAGTTGCACAGGTCACATCTGGAACAAATGGTATGAATTTCACATTGATGCTTTTTCAAAACTATTTTAGAAGATATACATTTAGCTTGGCCCAAAGCCACCTGCGCCAAAGTTAGCATTGAAAGATCTAGCACAAAGGAAAGAACAGCAACTGGAAAGAATGTCTTTCTAGAAATAATGTGGGCTCTAGAGGCATGATGTAGAGGAGAGACTGAATTATCTATAGTGCTAGTTTTGATGCAACACAGTAAAATGCCCAATTTTTTTACATTTACTGTTGGTGTGGCAAGACGAGTGGCTCATTTGAATGGGTATTATCTTACCAAAAACCTCCTGCTTAAGAGGCACTTGCTTTTGATTTAAATGAGCCAGAAATGAATTGTAAGCCAGTTTGGGAAGGTGGTCTGTTTTATCTTTTTGTTTGTTTAGTTTTTTGCTGCTGCATATCTATAGCTTGAGAAAAGTTGAATAGTATTTTACCTGACTTTATTATATGGGAAGAGCTTTGGAGGGAAAAAGAAGACAAAATAATTTATTGATTACCATTTATATGAAGAAAGTGTTCATATGACTGTTTCTGAAACCAACCCGGTTGGTATTTTCTGTTTTCCCAATAGTTGTAGGTATGCTGGTCCCCAATCTTCCAGATGTTTTGATTTGTTGCACAGGCCCCAAGGTATTTTAAGTCTTAAGATGGACTCTGGTCACTTGACTATTCTGTTCAAATACATTGGCAAAAAACTAAAACAAAAAAACAGTTACTTGTGTGGCCAAAAATCTCTTGAAATGTAAATATTGAAAACATTCCCTTATGTTTTCTACGTAACCCATCAATAGCCCTGTCCTCAAGAATTTAAGAAAGGGGAAATTAACAGGAGTTGTGAATTAGTATTAATACCCTCCCGGACATCCGTTAAAACTTAATTGGTCCCAGAGTTTCTATTTTTATTTATATATTGTCATTCCAAAGCTGTCACCCTTTGACTCAAGCTCAACTCTTTGATGCTAGGCTGAAGACTTTTGAGCAGATAGATTACAAGGGTCGCAACCAAGAATAGAACCTGAGTCGTGATAAAGTTAGATTATCAAAATAAATATGCGTTTGATGTTCTTTCAGTTAGTTAGTATTGCAAGTGAACACTAATTCAGAGGGTTGGCCTGTTTAATCCCATGTCCATATAAACATTGCAATTACATAAATAAAAGAAAGAGGTTCCGACTTCACTAGTTGGCACCTCACGGACTAAAAAAGTGTTAGATAGTAGAGTGTTAAGGCTATAAAATATAAGTAAACAATGTTAAGTCACAGGAAAATTGGTCTCTCTTAATGCCATGAAGACTCCACTGGAAAGATGCCCCTTCTTGCACTCTAGGGCTTGTAAGAAAATGGGGATAGTGTTCACAAGTATATAAGTTCAATGTTCTCCTATGATTGTGCCTGCAAAGAGCCCAAGTCAAAATAAGGAATTATTCCCAGGAAGAATTCCTAGAATCCATCTGGTATTCCTTTGCCGCTAACAATATTTTTTCATGTAGCTTCTTTATTTAAAAAAAAAACACCCAAGTTTAAAAGGTCTTATTTGTAAAAGCTGTTTGGTCCCTTTTTGCACTAGAGTAAGAAATGCAGTGGCTGGAGTGTGTAGAATAGGAAAAAAAATGGAAGAAAACTCTCTGGGAGTTAGTAGCCTTTAGATTGACTGAATGTTTTAGTAGCCAGCCCTGGAGTAGTGAAGTAAGATCTATAATTGTGTACATTTATTCTGTTATCAAATAACAATGGAACACACTAAAATAAGTAACAGTGTGTTTTTTTAAAAAAGAAAGAAAGAAAAGAAAATATTGGCTACACATCTGAAAGGCGAACGTCTCTTTGGTGTACATCCAGTTAAGTTGGAAGTGTGACGCCTTACCTGCAGTTTCAATCCAAACTGTAGAGTGCCAGATTAAAAATGCCAAAAAGAAATTATACACATATCTGTTGTCATTTTTGAGTTGGTTCAAGTAGCTTTCTCATTCATTGCCTCTTTGATGCAGGTTGCCATTTCCTATGGTTTACCTAAGATCCAACATAGAGGTCTGGGTGACTTTATCTTTGCGCTCATCTTGTAATTCAGCCCTTACACAGACAACTTACTCCTTTCCTCTCTTATATCCCCAATTTCTACTGTTTTTAAATAGTACCATTAATTGGAGCGTAATCACATGCACTAGTTCATACTGAAAATTTATGTACAATGGAGGGAAAGGTGCATACATCCCAGAATTCACTTCCTCTCTCTTCCTTGCACATTCCACACAAAAAAAATACACATTCCTCATTTTGTTTAAGGAGAAAATATTAGATATTAGTCGCTAATGACATCTAGCTAGGAGCCATTCTTCTGAGAAGCATTAACGTGTGTTTTCCTCCCTACTCCTGTCACATGCTGAAGCGGGTTTCTTCCTTGTATCTGACAAATGGAGGTAGGTCTCTTTCATCTTCTAGCAGAATAAAAACTCGAGTTGGGATTATTAGACCAGGAGATTAACCATCCGTTTTCACACATGATCCAATACATTTCTGGGATCCTAGAGGGCCTTCTTCAGACTGATGGCCTATGAAGCTATGCTTTGATTCCAGTTATTCCACAGCTGGAATTGAGCGTGGTTGTGTGCTCAATGAATGCTATAGTTTCCCATAAATGATGGGCAAATTATTATCTAACTGAATGCCGGTTTCTTTAGCTTGTCTTACACACTATATAAAAAGATATACGTTACACAGTATGCTGATGGTGCAGGTCAATTAGACAGCCTGTCATCACTTTAACAATACATGCCAAAAGTTGGCATTTAGGTCTATTAATGTGCATTCTTCTCATCACAAATTAATAGGTGTGTGTATGTGCAGGTGTGTTTGTGTGCAAGCATACATATACACACACACATATGTACACATATTCACCATAACATAAACTTTGTTTTTCTGTAAGAAGCAGATGGAATAGTTTCTTCTCTCTTGTTATTAATAATTATTTCATTATTGTTTGCTATGTTCTTTGTATTCCTGGATTCTCATAAATTAAAAGTTCTGTATGCTGCTGTGGGAATGACCAAAATATTCCAAATCCAGCCATCTGGAAATCAAAAACAATCAAAAGGGCTCTTATTCTACTACAAGAGTCTTCCTTGGATACATGGGATGCTGCTGCTAAACTGCCCAGCTTTAGTTTCTCTCTTTCAGAATTGTCTTTGAGGTTTTGGAGAAGCTTTCTTGGTGTAGGTTCCATCGCAGCATGTTTTTAACTGAAATGAAAATTAAGTGCCTGGCTCAGCTTTGCATACTTGGGAAATGGCTTCCCTTTGTTTTTCATGTTGGTAGTATTTATTTCGACCTTCGCTTTAGCCTTGCCCATTAGTGCTACAATAAGGTGATCCTAATCAGAGGTTAATGACAATCAGATCAAAACGAAGTTTGATTCAAGCAAATCTGATACGGTGGAGGTGGGGGGGGGCACAACAGGTGTGCATGGAAAGTGCAACCTACCGCAAAAGGGAACATCCTTTTTGTGCCATATTCAGTTGGTCAGCTCAGGACCAAAAGTGGTAATTTCCCCCGCTGAGATTTCAAGACAATCGAAGAGTCTGAGAAATTCCTAGAACTATCAGAACTTAACTGGCATATTCCATGGTCAAAAAGAGAACAATGTGTGTAGCCTTGGATTTTGCTTCTTTCTCCTTTTTTGTCGTAAATATAAAAATAACCATTCTTCTGAAATTCTTGGAATCAATCAATCAATATTGTGAATTTAGATTTGAAAACACTTTCATAATAAACACTAAGCATTAGGACTTTTATTTTCACTTGTCTTCTTTCTAATTAAATGACTGCGGAGAGAAACCTAAGGCCTGAACCTAGGCTGAAGTCCTCTAAACAGATGGACCAGGGGTTGGATTCACAGATCACACACTAAGCTATTACTTGTTGCATAAACTGCGAGAGCTGGACTCCCACTTCATGCCAAGCCATAATGATTAGCTTAAAGCACATTATAATTGAGCATCACACACGAAAATCATTTACCTTCCAGTAGTATAAGGAAACATTTGCATATGTTCAATAAACTGACCTCAGGCACCAGGAACATAGTTGTACACAACTCACAATAAGGAGCTTTGGATAGTGCTGGAAGAAAGCTGCATGGACCTTGCTGCTCCTACCATCTTGATGTTCCTTGATTGAAAGTCAGGCTAGAAATGGAATACTGTAACTCTTTGGGCAAAGCAAAGTTCACATAAAAACAGAATTTCAGTATGGAAATGTCTTTTCCATAAGAAGAGAAGAGAATAACAGACTTGGAAGTGACCTTGGAGGTCTTCTAGTCCAACCCCCTGCTTAGGCAGGAAACCCTACATTACTTCAAACAAATGGTTAGCCAATTTCTTCTTTAAAACTTCCAGTGTTGCTGATATTAGTTCCTATTTACATTGGATACAAGCCATATCCTGTCTGAAAAAACTATCTGATCCAGCACTTTCCTAAAGTGATGCGTCACCATTTGCTGCTGTCCCCAAAAGCAATTATGCCTCTGAAACAGATTTTGAACTGAGGAATCAGTGGAAATTTCTACTTGCCCAAATGGAAGATCCTCCCATCAGTGAGATAGATATTCAGAAAGGGTAGTTTATTAAAATCATCTCAAGAGACAAATCCTGGGCATTATTTTAGTGAGCAGAGGATTTTCTTAGTATTGAACAGGCACCATTGTCAATACTAAGGACATGTTTTAATCTTGGATCAAAATCACTTTTGCAAAATCTGGATGTCTTGAGTCATACCATTCCCTCAAAATAAGGCTTTCTTAGTGGGAGAGTTAATACTAGAAGGATAATTCAGTGATTCTATGAAGGCAAAAAATAAATTGGCTGCTCCCATTTCCCAAGACCTTTTGAACTGTATAGAAAAATCCACTAAAGAATGTATAGAAAAAGCCACTAAGGACTCTTGGTGTAGATTTCCTTAAATTTCATCCTTTGTTTTTGATTGAATTTCCTGCTTGGTGTAGAAACCCAACTGAAAGTATCCCAATAACTCTTTGTTGGAGTCAGTTTGACAGTAGAGACTGCCTTCCTGTCTTCATAACTTAAGTCCATCACTGTGTCCAGCACTCAGGAGTCCCTTCAAGAATATACAGTATTTCCCTTCAATCCCTTCCAAATGAGGCATCACTGCCACCCTTCTTCATCTTCTAAAAATGACGAAAGGCATTTCTGAAAATAAAGATAAGGATGGATTCTTGTTGTTGCTTCTTTGTTTAATAATTTCAAATATAATAAGATAGGTTAGAGCACCTAGAGGTGTCCTTTCTTTGATTTGTGCAATTTCTCAACACATTTATTTTCCTGAGACCAGAGTTAGGTACCGTGAGACCTAACAGTACCACACTACTCTTAAATGGTATTAAGAGAGGTATTTGTTTCCAGGCCAATGGGCAGAGGTGATATTCAGCAGGTTCTGACCAGTTCTGGCGAACCAGTAGTGGAAATTTTTCAGTAGTTTGGAAAACCAGTAAATACTACCTCTGACTGGCCCTGCCCCCATCTATTCTCTGCCTCCTGAGTCCCAGCTGATCGGGAGGAAATGGGTATTTTGCAGTATGCTTCCCCTGTCACACCCACCAAGCCACGCCCATGGAACTGGTAGTAAAAAAAATTGAATCACGCCACTGCCAATGAGTTATATCTCACTTTCAGGGGCTGGAGAACATTATCCGCTCACCTGTATCCCCATGTATTCAGGTGAAACTAAAAGAACAACACTCTTTGCCTAGAATGTACAAGATGGATCTGTTTTAAAATATATTGTACCAACACCCTGAGCAGATCTGTTACTTGGGGAACTAAGGAACCATTCAGCCTCAAGAGATAGAAGCAGTGTTCCTCATCCTTCCTCTATTTTTGTTTTCGGTTTAATATTCCACAGCTACTGAATATGTTTAGTACAAATTGGACTACCTGGGAATAGTAGTTTAGCCTGTTTGGATTCAGACATCTGTTATGCTGCAAACATCAAATCATGTTCTTTTCTCAACATTCAACACAATGGAGTTTGTTTCAGGCTGCATGGCTTTACATATCACACTAAATCATAATTTTTAACCACATAAAATAACAAAAACCTGTCCTGCTTCAAACAATGTTAAATTATTGTTCTTGAACCAATGTGTCTTGTTCATTTGTCTGTCAAATTTAGAAGGCCACCCAGCTCCATAAAGATTTTGAGCAGTATACAACACAGGTGGTATTCAGCAAGTTCTGACCAGTTCTTGAGAACCAGTAGCGGAAAGTTTGAGTAGTTCAGAGAACTGGTAAATATCACCTCTGACTGGCCCCTCCCCCATCTATTCTCTACCTCCAGAGTCCCAGCTGATTGGGAGGGAATGGGGATTTTGCAGCAACCTTCCCCTGAAGTGGGGAGGGAATGGGGAATTTACAGTATCCATCCCCTGCCACGCCCACCAAGCCACGCCCACAGAACTGGTAGTAAAAAAAATTGAATCCCACCACTGGTATACAACATTCAAAACAGAATAATAAAGCGACGAAAAGAATGATACCTGTCTAGAAGAGAAACATTCAAAGCAACTTAAAAAAATTCAATGACAGACATGCCTCTCATCTTAATTCAAGGCCTGTGGAATCAGCCAGGTTTTCAAATACCTCTTAAGCACTTTCAGGGTGTGGACCATAGGGATGTCAGAGAGGATACTGTTCAGAGACAAGTGTTGTGAGAGAAAAGTGTGTTTCCTGGTCCTCACTGATAACATTAGATTATGCCTGATCTGCCTGATTATACAGGATGGGCAGAAATTAAGAGAGATAGGTGGTCCTTAAGATAGTCTGGTCGTATTTTCTTTTAGCTAGCTAGCTACCTAACAGGTTTCCCAGTATTATGATATCTTCAACCCTCTCCTACTACACCTTGAATGAAAACAGCTTGCATAATCCTAGGTGTGCCTTGCCTATGTTTGCTTTTGAAAAATAGGCACACCTTGAATTGTTCAATATGCTTGGAAGGTGGGTTGAGGGAAGATTGGGAACAGCAGAAATGCCTGTCTGGTTGTTTCCCATAAGGAATAATTTGATTGCTTATTAGTAACCTATGACTATCACTAAGTGTTGTATATTATGATTCTTGATTAATGTATTCTATTTTATTTTTCTTTATGTACTCTGAGAGCATATGCACCAAAGACAAATTCCTTGTGTGACCAATCACACTTGGCCACTAAGGAATTCTATTCTATTCTATTCTGCTCCATTCAATTCCATTCCATTTGACACATTTCCTTGTGGACATCAAAAATGGCCCAACTATCCAACATTTATCAGCAGCTTCTTTGCCATTTATATCACTTACAGGCATTGACTTTCCATTCTTTGGGTGCTTCCCAAGGGCCTTTTCATGAGTCCAGGCTGAACAATATGCTTAAGAGTTGGGAGTCAAGTTGAATGTCTTTAGCAGTTACCTTGATCCAAGGAGAAGCTAAGAAGCAGGACACAAAAATAAAACTCTTCTTTATTGCTTGGCTCTCGCATTTATTTCCGAAATGTTTCTATGGAAAACACCAAGAGAAGAAAATGTCACTAATTAAAACAACTTTCATGGGCTTATGGAATCACATCAAGAGAGGATCTGCAGTACTTTGGGGGAGAAGTTGTGGAAGATGTAACAGGAGACGGCTACTCAATATAATTCAGTTCTGCTGCTTGGAAAACTTGAACAGAAGTGTTTGCTACATTGACTTTCTGGCTTTCCTGTGTGCAGTCCAGTATGGATGCTTCAAGTTCACTATCTGTGGTAAAGGTTTCAGACACATAACTGGTCCAGAGTCACCTACTGAGTTTTATGACCGAAGATCTGAATTACGAGGGAGGGTGATCAGTTCTAACCCAACTTTTTGCCCACTCTACCCTAGCAGGATCACTTTTCATTGTACAGTGCTGGTAAAAAAATGCTCATTTTGAGTAACAGAAAGATGATAAACATAAAGATAATTATAATATGCATATAATAGATAATAACCACATGGTAATAATCACATTAGCTTATCCGTATTAAAAAAAACTTTTTAAAATATAATTCTCTTCATCCTTTTTGGTTTCTAACCTCTGTTTCTGTTAGTTAGCTATTGATAAAACAAATTCCCTGTTAAAAAGTGTTTCCTCCTTCTCCTTTATTTTTAGTGTTAGTCTGTCCATATCTGCACAATCTAATTTTTTTTATAATGCTTCCATCCAAAGGGATCTTTTCCTTTTTAAACTGTTGTGCAAAAACAACTCTTGCTGCTGTTCAGACATGTAAAATTAGATATGTATTGCCTTTATTATTCAAAACGAATTGTACTCAGACAACATGCTCTTCATACCCTGTTTCCCCCAAAATAAGACCTTGCCGGATAAGAAGCCCAATCGGGCTTTTGAGCACATGCGGTAAAATAAGCCCTCCCTAAAAATATTGCAGCACAGCAGCAGCCATGAGGTGACCATGCTCACCGCCACTTGCACCTCAAAAATAATAAGACCTCCCCCAAAATAAGGCCCAGCACTTATTTCGGGGGTCAAAAGAAAATAAGATCCTGTCTTATTTTGGGGGAGGTCTTATTATTTTTGAGGTGCAAGTGGC